CAGTATGGTATTACTTCTTCTGCAGGGTGGCGCGCTGGGACAAGGGACCTCCAACCTGAACCTGTCCGACTGCTTGGTCGGCCTGGCTCGAATGGATCGTGTGATCCAACTTATGTCCCAAACTATGGTGCAGCGCACGGCCAGATTCACTGCGTGGGAATGTGCCAAGGACAAGGCTGCCCACATCTCGCATGTGACTGCTACGGTTACGAGTGCATTTTCAGCTAAGCAATCCAGAGATGCCTTCACTGCCCTTCGCCGCATTGGGATAGGTTCTGCCGAGAAAAGGAAGGCATCGCAATCGGCTGTTGTCCTACTGAAAGACGGCACCATGGCACAAACAGCTACCGACGCACGGCATAGGTGGCTTGAGCACTTCTCGGACCAGGAGCTGGGCACTCAAATTCCCGCCCAGGACATCCTCTCCGTTTTTCAGGAATCCGAGATCCCCATCTTCAACATCCAGGACCAGGCAGCACAGTTGATTCCTACCAGGGTCGAGTTGGAGCAATAGCTGCTGAATACCTCCCCCCTATGTGCGAATGGGCTCGACGGGGTCGCGGGGGCTCTCCTGAAATATTGTCCCAAAGTGTACGCGAAGGTTGATTATCCGCTGTTGCTTAAGTACTCCTTGGGCCTTCGGGAACCTCTTCGATGGGAAAGCTGCTATGCTTCACGAGAACTACAAGGGCAAGGGCCCACCCCAGGAATGCAAGTCTTGTCGCGCCATTGCAGTTGGACCTCAGATCACCAAGAGGTCGCACGCTTCTTAACGCGCTAGGCTTCAACATTTCCTGGAGAAATGCGCTGCTGATTCCCAGCACGGCGGCATTGGACACCGCGGTACGGATTTTGCATCTCATTTCACCCGCTCCTTGCATCAGCTTGCAGTTAAAAGATCAACCAGTCTAGGACTGCTGTTTATCGACCTCGAGGCGGCGTTCCACCGAGTTATTCAGGAGCTTGTGGTGCGCTTCAATTCCGAAGGCGACGTTTCGGATGAAAGAGTTGCTCAGCTGGTTCAGGCTTCGGGACTCCCCCCTGAGGCCATGCATGACGTGGTTGCGGCCCTGGGGTCCAAAACCACCCTGGAGGAGTTGGAGGTCCCCGAGCATCTGTCTGCTCTCCTGGCCGAAACTCTTGCGAACACCTGGGCTACCACCCCTGGGGCGGGACAAAATCGCTGTCACCTCTACCGGATCCAGGCCAGGTAACACGTCAGCCTCCCAAGTTTTTCTGTTCATTATCTCGAGGTGTCTCCACCAGGCACACCAGTCGCTCGAGGAGGCCCACCTCATCTGTGAGTTGCCTGCCCCCTCGCGCAAGACCCTGGACATCGGGGTTCCCGACGACACCACAGTTTCAGCAGATGGTGCCAACTACGTAGATGACTGCATGTGTTTCGTTCTTGCCGAGGCCACGCTTCTCGTCCAGCAGTTGCGGGCTATTTCGGCCGTTGTAGTCAATGCTTTCACTCCGTCTCAACATGGGCCCGAACAAGACAGCTACGATGCTTCTGTTCAGAGGGAAGGGCTCGGTTACGGCCCGTAAGCAGTTCTGGCTGGAAATGCTGGGCAAATCTCGGTACCTGCTTCGACTATCTATCCAAGTGGGGTAACTATTGGAGCTGTTCATACCTACAAACACAGTGGGTGCATTGTCTCGGACAAGCTGGATCTCGGCCCCGCGCTGGCCAATAGGGTGAACTCTACGGCTGGGTCCCACAGGACTCTAAGGCAGGTCGTTTTCCAGAATCAGCCCCTCCCCACCTCGGACAAGCTAATGCTGGCGGACGTGTTGATCATGTCTGGCAGGCTCTACAACGCGAGTGTTTGGCAAGAGCTAGCAGCAGCGCAGTTTCGCATATATGCTACCCAGATGTTGAGGCTGTACCGAGCGGCGATTGGGATGCCAGCCTATGGCCCCAAAGCTCAGAGCGACGTGGCCGTCCTGGCCATGGCAAATCGACCCGACCTCACCACCCTACTCCGTTGGCATAGACTTCGGTATCTCCCAAGACTCTACAGATATGGGCCCCCTCAATTGTTTGCTCTTATACGCCTTTCGGCCAGTGTGGAGGGGTCGTGGCACTCGCTGATCATTGAAGACCTTCGATGGGTACGTGACAGAGTCTCGGAATATCATGATTTCCCCGCGCCGGTTAGTGACTTCCCCAGGTTGGAGGCGAAGATCTGTAAGCCTAGTAGAGCGTGGGCCAACCAGGTTGCAAAGGCAGTTGCTGCTCACGTTCGCTGGCAGGCTAGGAACTAGTTTGCCCGGCAACGTATCAAGTGTATCTTGGAGGAGGCGAAGGAGGGAGGAGTACCTTGCCATCGACTTAATGTACCTACCTTGCCCCCCAAGCGCTACCTGTGCCCCTACTGCCCCTACCACACACCTAAGCTCCTTGCTCTACGTGCACATGTGTCGTCTCAACATGTCCAACCCCGTCGTCTTGCTGCTCGATACCTGGACTCCCAAATATGCCCAGTATGCCTGACTTGTTTTGGTACTTAAGAGCTTACAATGAATCACATGGCGTATGGCAATCCACGGTGCATGCTGTCGGCTCTGTTGCATGTTGCCCCAGTCGACGCTACTAGGCAGTACGAGTGCGCTATGGACGAGGCTGCTGCAAGGACGGTGGCTACGTCTAAAGGTGCGATGCGACGAGAGGTCATTGTTCTTGCTCGCAGAGTCCCAGGACCTAATGACATCAGATGTAAGACCAGCGTACCCCACGCCGAAGCTTGGGCCCTTATCAAGGAATCCGAGTACCAGCACGACCCCAACAGGCCCCTCACCATCGATATTGATGTTCCACGACACCCCGACGATGACGAATGGCCCTTCAGGCCAGAAGAATACACTGGGGACCCAGGCGATCAGCTTCCCAGGGAAATTCAATATTCGGTCCTTGCCTTTGTGCACCTGTTCTCTGGAACTCGGCGACCGGGGGACCTCCAAGAGAACCGCGAGAGAGTGTTGCTTTCGGGACCCTGGACTGTGGTTGTGATCTCTGTGGACATCGCCCTGGACCCCAACCTCGGTGACCTTACTAAGATTGGAATCGTGGACAAATGGTGTACCTACCTGAGATCTGGACGAGCCCTCGGCATTGCCGGAGGTCCCCCGTGCGAATCTTGGTCTGCAGTTAGATGGAACAGATTGACGGATGGTGCTGGTTCAGGCCCTCCGCCGCTTCGCACTTACCGACATATTTGGGGTAGGCCCGACGTCTCCGTCGAGCAGCATTGGCAGCTTGTTGTGGGAAACGAATTGCTTATCAATGCTCACCATCTTCTGATGGTTTGTCTTGAAGTTGGAGCTTGTGGGGTCCTGGAGCACCCGGAACAGGCCTGGTGGGATCCCAGGGCCCCCAGCTCCTGGGAGCTGGACACCGCCAAAGCCATTGCCGCCTCCCCCGCCGCTCAGATGACCAGCTTTGATCAATGTACTTTCGGCCAGGTCAGCAAAGCTCCCACTACGTTGCTGGCTGTTCGCCTCCCAGAGCTCAGAGACACGATTCGTGCTCAGGGGTGTGAGTGGAGATGCGCTCATCCTCGTGGATTCCAGAGAATATTGGAAGGGAGGGAGAAGGACGGCCCCAAAGAAAAGGTACCCCCCAAAGATGTGCGAAACTATTGCCCGTGCTGTACGTGTGTGTCTGGAACGTGCATGGAGTGCCGCAGGTATTGAGCAAGACAGGTCGGATCTTCTGGAAGAACTCAATGCTTTCTTCCAGGCCCTGGATCCCTATGTTGAACAAGATACTGGTATTGCTCAAGATTTCTCGGTTTTCAGTGACCGGAAAAAGAAACGACGAGACCCACGTTTTGACCGCCCTCCCGCCGCCGCAAAGGAACAGGGAGGTAGGGACAGTCTCGGAGGTGAGGAGGAGGACCCGTTCTGCGTCGAGGAGCGGTACATCACCGCAGCCACCACGGCGGCCGAGGCCGCGCCAGGGGCCCCTGCCCCCGTCCCTTCCCCTCCGCCCCCTGCCCACCCCAGTCCCTGAGCTTCCTCCTGAGCTCAGGGCCTGAATTCAGAAAAAGAGGGAGGCCGCTCGGGAGAGGAGGTGGCTGCGACAGCACGCTGCCCTCGGACTTGATCCCAGGCGCCAGGCTCCCTTTTGGATCGGGCCCCCGACAGAGGGTTGGACCCGTTCGCCCATCAATCTTCTCAGTGACCCGTTTGGGGTCCCCGAATACCAGCAACGAGTCGACTCTTCCCGATACCGATACCGATACCGATACCGATACCCTCTCTCCACCCCTCCCCGTCCTCGCCGTCCCCCTGCTCGTCACGCACACAGCCACTGCCGCTGCTACAACTGCACGCCGCTCAGGCCTGGCGGACCCAGAAAGGGGGTCCAGCTAAAAGGGGGTGGTACCATAGATTTTGGACAACTGTATTGTGCATGTTTTGCGCCGGAGAATTGCATTGCATCGTATTGCAACTAACTCATGCGTTGCACGCGAAAATCCAACAATTTTTTGGCACACCAGAACGGATTGCACGCCCCATTCTACTGCAACTCCAAAAATCTCTTGCAACAAATCTGATGCACCACCCTCTTTTCGCTGGACCCCCCCTTTCGGGTCAACCAGATCGGGGTACAACGGAGGGAGAGGGGAAAGAAGGATGAGAGAGGGAGGCAGAGACGGAGATGAAGAATCAAGTCAGCTCACACCGCAGCTTTATCGTGGCGTGCCGCCTCGTCGCCATCGCCGGCGCCATCCCCGTCCCCAGTGGTCGTCGGGCCAGAACTCGGGCCTCTGGCGCCCAGAACTCGGGGGCAGGACGCCCTCGGCGCGGCGCAGCCGCTGAAGGGCATGCCGAGGCTTGAAAACCGCCGAGCGCCGCCGAAAACCTGTGAGAACCTCGAACCCCGAATCTTCACCCTCGTCGCCATCGCCATCGCGGGAGGCCGTCGCCGTCGTCGCCGCCACCACCAAGTCGCCGCCACCGCCATGGATGGCGTCGTATCGTCGGCGCGCCCAGCCACAGCCTGCCCTGCTCGCCCTCGGGCGGCTTCGGAATCCGCACCCCGAACAGGAGTTCCCTGGGCGAAGCGAGGAGAAGCGCCGACATACGTTCATACGAGAGCACGGCGATTGGGCTGGAGCCTGGGATACACTTTGGATCCCCGTGTGATGCATGAGCGAGAAAGCTCGCGGAGGAAGAGGGAGGGCGACGACGAAGACGACGACGACGAAGGGCAAGAACAGCACGTCGTACATGAAAGCACGTGGTACCAGCGAGGGGCAAGAGGCAACCATCTTAGATACCCCCCGCCTGGGCGGCCTGGACATCTCAAACACATGATTCCAAATTGGGACCACAATGTTCGATACCCAGGCCTGAACACGTCAGAATCACATTGCTTCAGCTCTGGACCACCATGTTAGATATCCCGCTTGGTTGTCTGGCCACGTGAAGAAAACACACGGTTCCACCTAGCGGCCACCATCTTCGATACCCCATTGGGTGGCCTGGACATGTAAAACCACGTGATTCCAGCGCGGAGCCACCATCGTAGATACCCCTCTGGGTGGCCTGGACACGTGAAAACACGCGGCTCCAGCTCGGGACCGCCATGCTAGATACCCCGAGGGGAAATCTGGGTAATCACCGGCCGAAGGAACTGTATCTATCAAGTCATTGGACATCTGGTGTCGACTGATTGATTTGGTCTGGCTCGTGTGAGCTCCCACGCTGGGCCCCCCCCCGGCGACCACATGTTGGATACCACCGTGGTTGGCCCGCACACATAGAGACACGTGGCTCCAGCTCGGGCCAACCATGATACGTGCCCTGCTCGGTGGCCTGGACGTGTACGTGGTTGCAGCTCTGGACATCCATGTCAGATAGCCCGTTGGGTGGCCTGGACACGTAAACGAATGTGGTTCAAGCTCGGGACCATCATCTAAGATAACCCCCTGGGTGGCCTGGACACGTTGAAACACGTGGCTCCATCTGGGGACAACCCGTTTAGATACCCCGCTGGCCGATTTGGGCAAGTGATAGCAAGCAATTCGTCTGCGAGATCCTTTGAATTCTGGCCCCACGAGGGGAGCAACATATAGGGCAAAACAAGCGTCTCGCTCGAGACATCCGCAACAAACGAACAGGTGTGCTTTACCCTGTGTTTGATACATCGGATTTGTTTAATGCGTTTCGCTCGGGTCATCCTCAAAAATAATTCCGCCGGCCTCCCCCGACATCGTTATTTATCGAACAGAAGTCCGCCAGCCTCCCCCCAACGTGGCACTCAAGGACAGGATTACAATACTACAAGAGATCCTGGGACCGCGCCCTTTCCGTAACAACAACACTTCCAAGCAGGGCCTCGACGCAGCTGGCACCCCGGGGAAACTGGAAGACCCCCCCGCCTCCAATCGGGAGCGGCAAAGAGGGGGGTGCCCAAGAGGGGGGGGTGCAAATCATGACCGGCGGCATGTGCGCGGCCCAGCGGGGGGGCCAGGGACGTAATGAAACAAGAAGAGGCGCCATGAAATCTGGGAAATATCATGGCCCCCGCCATGATATCCACCCCCCCTAGTCATCACCCCCCTCTTTTCCACCCCCCCGCCTCCAAGCCGCCCAAGATGGCTCCTGAAGACTCCCAGTGAGCGTCGAACAAAAACGGGGCTTACGCGAGCCGCCAAAGCGGCACGCCACATCGAAGACGAGGGTGCTCACGCGCGACCTCACGCGGGCAACTTGCGCGCCAGCGTCGGCGCAGACGACTCCGTTTTCGTGCGTCGCTCAAAATGGGTTCCGTGCAGATGGGGTTGGGGGAACGCGTCGCGCCGCCAACTCATCGCCGGTGCATCGCATGCGTCGGCGATGCGGCGGCACTGGAACGGCCCCCTCACGCCTCGAAGACGCCGAACATGGCTCCCAGAAGCCTCTCAACTTGGTTCCGTGCTAGATGCGGTTGGAGGATCGCGCCGCGCCGCCATTTCATCGCCGATGCATCGGCCATGCGTCGGCGTGGAGAGAAAGTCGGGCTCCGCACCGGGACGCACCTCCGATGCGTCGGCAATGCGACTCGGCACTCCGACCCCATCTCTCCTCGGACTACAGGCTTGGGGGAACCAGCAAGTTCCCGATACCGCTGTGGTTGGTTCGTCAGGCGTCGACGCACGCAAAAGGTTTTTGACACCGCGTCGATCGTTCAGCCTTGAATCGATCGCGGCCCCGATCGTTCGAGAATGGATTCCGTGGGATGTAGTGGCGTCACCGTGTCCCTTGGTGCTTCCGTGTCGCATCATTCAACCTTGAATGCCTCCGCTGGCGTCGCCAGCGCGACAACGCCGCGTAAACCTATCTCCCATCCATCTCCCATGGTGCGCTTTGACCATAACTTCGAAGCCAAATGCTGCGAAGACTAAGAAGGGTAGCGGCATCGGTCCCTCTGCCTCCTCGGACATTTGCGAGGCCTGGGGTGCCACCCCCAAGACAGAGGGCCGCCGACCGCCGCGGACGTCCCGCCGAAGGCCGTCGAGGGTCCGCCGAAAGCCCGCCAAGGGCCGCCGAGGGCTCGCCAAGGGCCCGCCGAGGGACGCCGAGGGCCGAGGGCCGCCGCGGGCCCGCCGAGGGCCGCCGAAGGCCGCCGCGGGCCGCCGAGGGGCGGCTGCGGGCCGCCGCAAGCCGCCGAAGGCCGCCGAGGGCCGCCGCGGGCCGCCGAGAGCGGTCGGCGGGCGGCGGGGGGAAGCCGGTCCTGGTGGTCGTATCGTCGCCGCGCGCCAAAGCCAGCAACCGCGTCATCACCGCCTCGGGCTCCAGCCCCGTCAGCTCCTTTGGGGAGGAAGGAGGAGGAGGAGGAGGAGGAGGAGGAGGAGGAGGAGGAGGAGGAGGAGGAGGAGGAGGAGGAGGAGGAGGAGGAGGAGGAGGAGGAGGAGGAGGGGGCGCGACTCGAATGACTCCGCCGAGAAAACGAGAGGGCCACGCTTTATTAGAGGAAAGCGCGGCTATCCCGAAGCCGCGTGGGTGTCACCGCTTAAGGACATCCTTGTGCGCGGGTGACGCTTGGCCTTCGAAACCTACTGGTCTCCCAGTCGGCGGAGCCATTACACTGGGCCATCAACACTGGGGACTGGCGGGTGGATGCTGATCCCCCGCGGTTCAGACAGTAGACATATTGGCCTTCGGTGACCATATGGTGCCCCCGAATGAGCTGCAATGCTGGCTCATAGGGCCGACTCGAGGCCGCGCTAGACACAGCGGCCCCCCCCCACTTCAGCAGCCCTGTTGCTCGCGACCGTCCACCCCTGATCGCCAACCGCGGCCCCTAGGACACGATCCGCCGCCGCGAGGGCGATCGAGATGGCCTCCTCGCGGGCTGCCGGCAGCGGCGCAGCAGGAGGAGCATAGGCGGCTAAGTTGGAGAGGCGTGCACGAGCGCGCGCCATCATGTTCTGTAGGGCCGAGGGCGCACACTCTGCGCGCCCCAGTCGCCCCCACCCTGTCTCAGAGCTCGCCGAGGCCAGACACAGGCCGCATTACCAGCTCGACCCGCGCCGAATCAGCTGATGGCGCGGCTGCGCGAGCTGTGCAGGCGCAGGAAGGACAGCTGCGCAGGGCATTTCTTGGACGGCCTCGCGGGCGTCATCCATGGTCGAGCCGACCGCCGCCATCAGGCGCGCTAGAGACTTGGCCTGCCCCCCTGGCGCCCGTCATCTTGGCGCGGGAGACGCCGTGGATGGTTCGGGGCAGCGCGCGCAGCTGGGCCCCGACCTTCGCGGAGATGTCGGCGCATGCATTGCCGTGGGAATCGCCTTCGTGGCGCCTGCCAGCGCCCCGCAGGAAGAAGCCCACATCTTTGCGCGCTGGGCGCCATGTCACCCCAGGTCGCGGAAAGCCGTCCATCGTTCGAACGCGCCGCGCCAGACGTCGGCACGCTGGCCCCGCGCACTGGCAAGCCCAAGGCCCCGGCTCTCGCTCTTGGCGGCCAAGGCCGACGAATCAGTGACGGCATGGGGGGCGCGCGGCATCGCGCGCAGCATCTGCAGAAAAGCCCGGCGCCCCGCGCGGCCGACGGCCTGGCGCCGCCTGGGCAGCGCGCCAAACACCGTTCAGCTGCACCAGTGCCGTGGCCGCGCGGCGTCGCAGCCCGACCCGTCGCGGTGGGCGATCGTAGCGGCGACTCCCAATCGCCCCAGAAGTGCACCTCGGCCTCCAGCGCTTCTGGCTTGACCAGCTGCTGGAGGAGAGGCAGGCCGACCGTCAGCTCGAAGCGGACGTAGTCCTGGCGGGCAATGCCGACCCCAGCGCCATCCTGGATCCTGTTGCGTAGCTTAAGCAGCTTCCCGGGCAGCTCCTCCAGCTCCCCTTCCGCCCCATCGTCGCCTCGCGCCACGATGCGCGGGCGCTCGTGGACATGGTGCCCCTTGGTGCACGGCGCATCGCATGGGCAGACAGGGCAGGCCGCCGACGCGGGGCAGCCCATGGCGCGCGTCTTGACCAGGCCCCAGGAGGCCCCAGCCCCGCCTCATGGCGGCCCAGAACCTGCCGACCCTGCCATCGAGCGATACCCGCTCGAAGGAAGTGGGCCACGTCCCTGGGCGGTGTCTGCGGCAACTTCAGAATTTATCCCTGGTCGGTGACTAGCAGCAAGCTGGAGCGCATCGCCCAGCATATCCTCAGCAGATGCCATGGGCCCGCGGGGCCCATGCCATGACGGCTTGGCCTCGAGTCGCTGCGCCTCCACTTTCTGCCAGGCGCGCCGCAGCCTCGCGGGCAGCGTGCGCTCGTCCCAGATGAAGTCGCAGTACTTCATGACTGGGGGCAGCGTGGCATCGAAGATCAGGTCGATGTAGGGGCCCCGCTGCGAGGCGAGGCGCAGCGATATGGAATCGCAGCGTACCCCGCCACGGCCACTGCAGAGCATGGCCGCCGCGCAGCGGGGCCTCGCCAGGTGCTCGCCGGCGGCCCCGCCCACCGCGGCTCCTTGGACAACGGGTGGCAGGGGCCCTGTGCGCCGCAGGGCCCGAATGCGCAGCCCCGCCGTCCTCTGGGGCCCCGCAGCCCTTGGCCGTCGAACCTTCAGCGCGCCCAGCCCGGCCTTAACGATCGTGCGCCGCGCGCCGCGGCCGCGGGCATCATGCCCCAGGTCGCGCGCTCCAGCGCGTTTCCGGAGGCGCATCTGGCGCGCCGCGGGGGCAAAGGGCCGCTGCGCCTCCATGGCGGTGGCGAGCCAAATCGACCTGCTGGGCTTGGCCTCCATCCCCGGCGGCCCCGCATCGGCCAGCCCGGACCTGCTCGCCAATTCACTGGAGCGCGAGATCGTCCATCAGGCACCTCGGGCGCGAGGTCATCCGCGACCCTCCGCGGGCGCGTCGCCGCCCTGTAGAGCGGCGCCGTCAGCGGCCCCTCGCAGTGCGTGCACCCAGCCAGGATGTTCTGGCGCGCGCAACTCGCGGCTCCAGGAGCCGCGTGCGCGAACGACCCCCCGCGTGCGGAAGTAGCCGATGAGCTGCCAGCACAACCGCATAGGGTAGCGAAGCCTCCGCGCCCCCCCCCGGCAGGACGCTGTCGGAAACCTTGTGCAAGTCCAAGATGATCGCGAGGCTGGACTCGCCAAGCAAGTGGGCGATCTCGGCCACGATGTTGAGGCCATGCGCCGAATCCACCGACGAGTAGTTCCGCCGGAGGCCGAAAGCGCACTCATGAGGATGCTGCTTGACCCGCTCCTTCGACAACGGCCTCCGCGCCCTGGCCCAGACGCGCACCAGCTGGAGACGAGCGCTGCGAGGCGCGTGCCGCCATCTGGCTTCGGAATCCGCTCCCAGATGTGGCGCGCCTTGTGGACGCGGCCAAAAAAGGCCAACAGGGTCAGCACGTTCTTCGCCACCCCTGGCAGGCGAGGCCCAGGGTCGTGCACGCACAGCGTGATCAGATTCACGAGATTTGACCTCGCTCTCATCAAGTGCTTGGCCCACCTCGCGATCGACGTCCATGCTAGGAGCTGGTCCGATGGCCTGAGCCCGCGCTGGGCAGGCTGCCGCTGGACGCGGACCCACCTAGCGGTTGGCTGCCCAGCTCTGCCTCCGTAGCGCTCACGCTGGCGAGAAACCATGATATCACGGCTGTCGAGGAGCTCAGCCTCAAGGAGCTGCAAGGTCTGATCCCAGCAAGCTCGCAAGTCATTATCCGTCATGGCACCTCCAATTGTCTCCTGGAGGCGGGCCCATCCCCGCGCGAAAGGCGGTCGAGCACAACCTGCCTTCAGCACAGGCAGTGCAGCAAGCTCTACTGGGACCCGCTGCCACAAGATACGGTCGGTAGCCAGCAGCGGCAAGCGAACAGCAGCATGGACGGGAAGCGGAGTCGCCTCGTCGACCTGAAGGGCCGCTATCCTGGGAAGAAGGTTGCTGCAGCACACCGCAAAAACGATCACCGTGCCACGTAAGCATTTCCTGCACGTCGGCACGTCGGGCTCCACAGTGATACCGTTGACCGTGTTGATCCACCGCTGGTCGAGCTCCGCCACCGTCACGTTCCAATCGCCCATGATGACCCAATCGTAGCCGCACGCCTGGAGGATGGCCACGGAGGAGGCCAGGGTGTGGAGCAACTGGGCGCCGGTGGCGTCCATGCCCACGGCAGTGTGGAAGTACACCGCACGAGCACCACGCCTAAAGGAGGGCCCCAATGGATGTGCCCAACATCAATGCGGCCTCGCGCCACGGCCCCCACATGACCGTGCTGGGGCGCGAGGGCCGCCGGGCCAACTGACGTGCCGCCCTGCCCCGTCGAGTAGGCCAGGGCGAAGATGCCGTGGTAGCCGAGGTCCAGGAGGCCGCGCTCCAGCTAAGCCAGCCCCGCAGGAAACACATGATGCTCCTGGGCCGCTATAGCCCTGCACCCAGGCTGCAGCGAGGAGGAGGAAGAGGCGGAAGAAAAGGAGGAGGAGGAAGAGGAGGAGGAGGAGGAGGAGGAGGAGGAGGAGGAGAAGGAGGGGGGGGAGGAAGAGGAAAAGGGGGGGAAGAGGGAGGAGCAGGAGGAACAGGAAGGGGAGGGGGAAGGGGATGTGGGGGGCGGAGGAGGAGGAGGAGGAGGAGGAAAAGGAAGAGGAGGACTAATGTAAACCGAAGGCCCATTAACGATGTTGCAGTAAACTGTCCGTCCAAATTCGTGTCTCAGGTCAGTACAACTATTTATTGCACTGGAAGGGCCCCCCCTTGCAAGACGAAACTCTGCACCGTGCCAGCCCACCACTCTTGGGATTTCAACGCAGCGAAACAACTTCATTGCTGCGTCATGACGATATTGAGCCATGGCCAGAACACCACTTCCGGGATTTCAACACCACGACTCGGTACGACCACTGCGGCTTGACACTCATGCGACGTCAGCCATAATGGCTATGACATGTACGCGGCGCCAACGCGAAAACCACAATGTAAACATACTATGCCATGAATCCGCGAAGCTCTTGCGAACGTGTGCAACAAACTCGTGACGTTTTGCGTAATCTCATTCGCTCATCCAGAGACGTTGGTCAGAGGAGTTGCCTCGATCAGGAAGTGTGCAGCACACAGAGACAGGGCCCCTCTTGGAACGCTCTTGGGTGCATCGGGGAGCCTCGTGGGGCCACTTGGGGGTTTCTTGGGGGCCTCTTGGAGGCCTCTTGGTCGCCTCTTGGGGCCTCCTTGGCGCCCTCTTGAGGCGCTATTGGGAGCCTTGGGAGCGTTCTTGGGGCCATCTTGAACGAGATCGATCAGAAACGGTAGGAGTTCTACTAGCGGGCCCTCTCTCAGGAACCCCCGAATCGCCTCTTGGGCCCCTCTTGGGGC